GGGCAGGGAAGGGAAGGGAGCTGGGAAGGGGCTGGAGCAGCAGGAGGGGCTGAGGGAGCTGGGGGGGGCTCAGCCTGGAGCAAAGGAGGCTCAGGGGGGACCTTCTGGCTCTGCAACCCCCTGACAGGAGGGGGGAGCTGGGGGGGGTCGGGCTCTGCTCCCAGGGAACAAGGGACAGGAGGAGAGGGAACGGCCTCCAGCTGTGCCAGGGGAGGCTCAGGTTGGATACTGGGAGAATTCCTGCATGGAAAGGGCTGTCCAGCCCTGGCACAGCTGCCCAGGGAGGTGGTGGAGTCCCCTCCCTGGCAGGATTTAAAATCCCTGTGGATGTGACAAGTGGGGACACAGGTCAGTGGTGGCCTGGGCAGTGCTGGGGGATGGTTGGACTCGATGGTCTCAGAGGGTTTTTCCAGCCTCAGTGATTCCTGGAGAAGGGCAGGACCAGGAGCCAGGATCCCCTTGCTCAGCCAGAACCCACGAGATGTCCCGAGCACAGTGACAGGTTTTACACCACAAGTTCCAGTGACCCCAGAGGGTTCACTCAGGGACAGTTTCTTATCCATCTGCTGCTGGATTACAGGGCAAAGGCTCACAGGGAATATTTCAGCTTTACCAGCCCCCCTGAACTGGTGGAACACGCTGCAGGGCAGCTCAGCCCTCCAGCCCTGCCCTTCTGCAAGGGGCACGAGCTGAAAGCACGGGCGTTAAGCAACACTTGTGGAGAAAGGGCTCAGAGTTATCTGGGGTTCAGCTCTGGAGTCCTTTACCAGGAGAGATGATTATTACAATTATTATAGTGCAGCTGCATTCACTGAACTCTCCTTCCAGCACCTGATGAGCCAGAAGATAAATAAAACAGGTGTAATCAGATCTAAGAGGCTTTTTTACAGTGAGGGTGGTAAAACACTGGCACAGGTTGTCAAGAGAACGTGTGGTTGCCCCATCCCTGGAATTGTTCAAGGCCAGGTTGGACAGGGCCTGGAGCAACCTGGGCGAGTGGAAGGCACTGCCAGCAATACAGGGGACCTGTCTCATGCCAGCTGTCATCACAAAAAGCTTCCTGCAGAGAATTCCTTAATGAGGGATGGACACCCCAACACCCCAGAGGGTCCATCACCATCAGTCTCAACGCCCACTGCCCAGGCACTGGGGTATGGGGGGGCACCTCCCTGGGCACCTTTGCTCCAGGTACAGCAATTAACGAGCCAATTAACCCCGCTGTGGTTTTGGCAGCTGTCCCAATAGCGCCAAAGGGCACCCCAAACATCCAGCCTGGAACTCACCCACACCGGTGCCAAGCAGGAACCTGCCCGAAGCCACACTTCAGGTGGCCAAAACACGCGCTGAGAACCAGGGAGAGAGGAAAGACAAGGCAGTGCCCACCCTTCAAACCTCGGTTTTCCCGGAGAATCCACCTCCAAGGGGAAAATTCCACGACCGACAAGGCTCTGGAGGCAGGCAGAGCCAGCTCCTCCCTCGCACCCCGTGGCAGGTGGGCACATCCCAACCCAGGGGCTGGCTGGGCACTCACCACCTGGCTGATGTCATATCCCCAGGGCAGGAACAGAATGCCCGTGTTGTACTTCTCCCAGTGGGAGAGGATGAAGGAGAACAAGACCACCCAGAGCAGGAGGTAGAGGACGAAGACGCTGACGCCGGTGGAGCCGCGGCCGAAGGTGGAGTAGACGGTCACCACGAAGTACACGCAGGCCCAGCTGTCCAGCCCGTGGTCGAAGAGCTCCCCCAGGGGGGTGCTGGAGTTGGTCCTGCGCGCCTGCTTCCCGTCAACTCCATCTGGGAGGAGGAGGAGGAGGAGGAAGGGGCAGTTCTCCTCGACAACCCACACACAAAGCACAGGGGAGCCACCGCTCCCACCCTCCGGCGGGGAGCAGGGAGTGGGATTCCCACCCACCCCTGATCCACGGGAGGCTGGAAACGCAACAGGCTGACAAGGTTACGTTTAGTGCCTTGTATTTCCTCTGTATTCCTTAAAGCAGCCCCTTCCAGAGCCTAAAGGGAGAGCTGGAGAGGGACTGGGGACAAGGGATGGAGGGACAGGACACAGGGAATGGCTTCCCACTGCCAGAGGGCAGGGAGAGATGGGAGATTGGGAAGGAATTCTTCCCTGGGAGGGTGGGGAGGAGCTGGGCTGGAATTCCCAGAGAAGCTGTGGCTGCCCCTGGATCCCTGGAAGTGTCCCAGGCCAGGTTGGATGGGGCTTGGGGCAACCTGGGCTAGTGGAAGGTGTCCCTGCCCATGGCAGGGGGTGAACTTTAAGGTCCCTCCAAACCCAAACCATTCTGTGATTCCTGACTATTTAAAGCAGACCCAAGACAATTTATTGGATTGGATTTCACAATTTATCTCAAATTTGTCTCGGTTCCAGTTTCCTCCTTTCCTCATCTGCTGCTCTGGGACAACTTCCTTCTCTCCACTTTGCAAAGCAGCTCCCAGAAGCTGCTCCAGCAGACCCAGGAGCAGCTGGATCAGTGCCTGGCGGGAGACAGAATCCAACATTTCCCAGGGGGCTCAGAGACCGGGTGACAATGCAGCCAACAGCACGACCAGGTGAGCACAGCCCAGCAGGAACACTCTTACCTAACGTGTAGGCCATGAAGTTGAGGAGCCCCACAACGATCCACACTCCGTCGGGAACGTGCTGGTGGTCAGGAGCTGCAGGGATCAGACAGAGCCGAGTCAGGACAGCTCAGGACGAGCTCCCAGGGGGGTTTGTTTTGGCCCAAGAGGCCCCAGGACCAAGCAAAGCACCTGTACAGCTCAGTGAAACCGGGACGTGAACTTTTCGGGATGTGACGGCCGAGCTGCTCCACAACAGCTCACGAAACCAGGACACTGAGGAATTTTCCTTCCAGGATTTAACTTCTCCTCTGTCCCCAGATCCCCAAAAATCACAGGATCTAAGAACTGGGGCCAGTTCCATAACCCCACTGCAGCACCACGGAGTTGTGTGCAGGGGACTCTCCTCGATCCCTCGCTCAGAGCATCGGGTGGAGCCTCTCCAGGATGTGGCAATTCCCGGTCTCCGTGCCAGGATTCCCCGCCCGCTCTCCAGTCCCATCCCTCCAATGGAAAAGGAGCTGCTCCCTCATGGCACCCCCACCTCCCACAGCATGGCCCTGGCAGGGACCCAGCACGGCCAGGGAGCCCGAGGGGCGCTGGAAAACAGCGGGAGGGCACGGGGAGGTCTCCTGAAGGAGCAGTGATTCCTTGGAATGCCACTCCCTGTTTCCTCAGGGCAGCAGGATGGTGCCTTCCCAGCGGCAAGCAGAGGGTCATGTCCACAGAGTCATCCCAGGAGGAGGGAAGACACAAGGCTCTGGTTCCATCAGCACAAGGAAAGGTTCTCTTTCCAAGAGGGACGTGCAAAACACGTGTGAGGAAGGGCCCCAAAGGATGAGCTTCACCACCCCTCCAAAGCCAACTTCTGAGAGGCTGGGAGAGCTGGGGGTGCTCAGCTGGAGAAGGGAAGGATCCAGGGAGACCTGAGAGATCCTTCCAGAGCCTAAAGGGGCTCCAGGAGAGCTGGAGAGGGACTGGGGACAAGGGATGGAGGGACACGACACAGGGAATGGCTTCCACTGCCAGAGGGCAGGGAGAGATGGGAGATTGGGAAGGAATTCCTGGCTGTGAGGTGGGGAGGCCCTGGCACAGGTTGCCCAGAGAAGCCGTGTCTGCCCCTGGATCCCTGGAAGTGTCCAAGGCCAGGTTGGACGGGGCTTGGAGCAACCTGGGCTGGTGGGAGGTGTCCCTGCCCATGGCAGGGGATGGGACTGGAGGGCCTTGAAGGTCCCTTCCAAGCCAAACCATTCTATAATTCCATGATTCTAGATGTCTGATGTCCTGGGGATTCTCCCCTTGACCTACTGTCAGATTTTCCTCCATGGCCCAAGGACCAAACGTGACCCAAATCTTGGCAAACACCCCCTGATGCCACCCGAGCTCTCGACAGCCTGGACTCCCCTACCCACCAACAAAGGCAATCCCCAGAAACCAGGATCTTCCCACTTAACTGTGTTTTGATGACAGGCTCAGTTTTAGAAGAACAAGAATGAACTCTCCAGAGCAACCCAACCCAACCCAACCCTGGCAGGGGCAGAGGGAGAGAAAACACGGAAAGGGATCCACGGAGAGTTATCCCGCTGTAACCCCTTCCCTGGGACTCTGCCACGAGGGAAGGGACAAGTGAGCCTTTGGAATCGCAGGCAGTGTTGGAAAGCTCAAAGCTGTGAACAGGGAGGCTGAGGAGGAGGATTTGGCCTGGTTGGTCTGCAGGGGTGGAGTGTTTTGCAAGAGGGCAGCGAGCAGGGATGTGAGGAACGAGGCTGCCGGTTCCAGGGAAGCGGCGCTTCCCACGTCACCCTGTGATTTTAAAACAAGGGCACCGGGTTGTTGTCTGCTCTGTAGGATGAGCCAATTCCTGCCCAAGATTCCAGCTGTTTGCTCCTCCCTCTGTAGGATGAGCCAATTCCTGCCCAAGATTCCAGCTGTTTGCTCCTCCCTCTCCCGCCTGATGCCAGGAGCTCACTCCCCTGGCAGCCGGAGGGAAGGTGTGGTACCCAGACAAGTCCTGGTCAAGAAGCCCAGTGGGTTCAACCCCCTGCTCTGTCCCATCACTTGGGAAGGCCCAGACCCAGGGAGCCTCCCCCACATGCTCTGGAATTCCCAGCACAGCCGGTGGCAGATCCACATCCCGCCGGGAACGCGCGGCCTTACCAGAGGCGTAGAAGTCCGGGTCGAAGTATGCCATGAGGAAGAAGTTGAACACAAGGAGCAGGAAGCCAGAGAAGGTGATCAAGTTTGGGGCCAGCCAGGTGGGGAAGATCTGTGGGGAAGCAGCAAAAGAACAGAGGAACTCCTTAAACCACGGGCGAGGGAGCACGCGCTGCGGGGACGCCGTCCGGAGCATCCCGAGCCGCAGGATGGGATGCAGGGACTCAGGGCAGGCTGCAGGCAGCCCCTGGGGGCTCAGGGCACCCCAAAAGAGGCAGCTGAGGGTGTCCCAGAGGCGGCTGGCGGGGCTCACCTTGACGATGGTGTTCCAGAAGGGATGCATCACGTACAGGGACAGGGGGTTGCTGTCCACGGCGCTGTACTGGGAACCACAGAGGAAACAAGGCCACAGGTCAGGGTTCAGAAACACACGGGAAAGGCCAGAGATCCAGAATCACAGGGGTTGGAAGGGACCTTAAGGATCATCTGGTCCCAACCCCTCCACCATGGGCGGGGATGACTCCCGCTATCCCACTTATCCAACCTGGCCTGGAACACTTCCAGAGCTGGGGCATCCACAACTCTGTTCCAGTGCCTCACCACCCTCACAGTGTAGAATTTCTTCCCAGTATCCAACCTAAATTTCCCCTCTTGCAATCTGTATCCGTTACTCCTTGTCCCATCACTGCTGTTCCAGGAATACTGAGCTTTCCACGAGGACAAAATCCACCCGAGTCTCGGCACTGCAACAGCACTTGGGTCAAGGGTGGAGTCTCCCCAAAAACAGTGTGAACATCCCAAAAAGCCCCCCAAGACCCTGCATGGGGCACCCAGGGCACTCCTGGCGCTCACCCACTGACCCTCCAGCCTTTGGAAGTGTCAGCTCCAGCTCTCTGAGCCGGACACAAAGCAAGGAGAAGATGCTGATCCTTCACCGGGCGCCTGCCTCCAACTGCTCTGCCCTGCCTGGGTGGGGAAAAATGAGGAGGGAGAGCTCCTGCCCCTCATCCCACCACTTCTGCAACATTTCAGGTGCTTGGGGCGTGTTTGTGTGTGGGAGAAATAAAAACAGAAATGCAAATCAAAGGCTGAGACAACTCCAGTCAGGGAGTTGAACCTGGACACCCTTTGGCTCTGGAGAGCAGCACGAGCTGTCCTCTGCTCCCACAGCCCTTCTGACACAGATCTCCCTGGCTAAAGTCCTCTTCCCCAGGAAACACTTTGATAAGAATCCCAAGGAAATTCCACAGCCTATGGAACTCCTGGGCTCACACGCTCGGGGCTGGGCAGGGCAGAACCTGCTGCCCACCCACCCTTGGCCCCCGTGGTTGGGGCAACACCCCCCCCCAGGAGGGGCATCTGCTCGAGTCCAGTCCCAGCACAGAATCCCAGACTGGTCTGGGTGGGGAGGGAGCTGAAATCTCACCCAGTGCCACCCCTGCCATGGGCAGGGACACCTCCCACCAGCCCAGGTTGCTCCAAGCCCTGTCCGACCTGGCCTTGGACACTTCCAGGGATCCAGGGGCAGCCACAGCTTCTCTGGGCAACCTGGGCCAGGGCCTCCCCACCCTCACAGCCTTCCCAATCTCCCATCTCTCCCTGCCCTCTGGCAGTGGAAGCCATTCCCTGTGTCCTGTCCCTCCATCCCTTGTCCCCAGTCCCTCTCCAGCTCTCCTGGAGTCCCTTTAGGCTCTGGAAGGGGCTCCAAGATCTCCCTGGATCCTTCCCTTCTCCAGCTGAGCACCCCCAGCTCTCCCAGCCTGGCTCCAGCCCTGGCAGCATCTCTGGGGCCTTCTCTGGACTCTCTCCAGCAGGTCCCAAGTTTGGTCTGGCTGGTAAAAGGAAGCCCCTGCCCAGGCAGCAGCTCTGTGTCCCCTCCCAACCCCTGGCCCTGATCCTGCCCCATCACTGCACCCAGGGGTTGCTCCTCTCCTTGCCCACAAACCCCATTTTTCCCTGGAAGCAGCCTGTCTGTTTCCAAAGCTGGGGAGAAAGTGGTGGGAAAGGGACAAGCAACACCCTCCAGGAGAGGCAGCAGGGCCAGGAAGGGACAGCAAGGCCAGGAAGGGGCAGCAGGACCAGGAAGGGGCACCAGCTCCTGCCAGGCTCCCATCTCACAGCGTTTGTTCCCAACGGGATGAAACCCACCCTTGGCGAGGGTTTCTGTGCCCCCTCCCAGCCCTTCCCTGCCCTCCCCAGGTCGGATCAGTCCATCTCCCTGGGATTCAGCCCCGGAGCTTCCATCCCCACGCCAGCCATCCCACGGGAGCTGCAGAGCCAGCAGCAGCAAACCCCAAGGCCGATGCCATAGGGGGGTGAGGGATAAGCCACGAGGAATTTCCATCCCAGCTTAGCGCAATTTTGGGAGGCAGAATTCCAAATGCTTTATGAGGTTAATAGGATTTGAACCACCAGTCAGGGGAGGAGGAGGAGGGTCTGATTTAATCTCATTATCCCCAAAACAAGCCTGGAACAAGAACACAGATGGAGTGAGGCAGGGGAAGCTCCGGAGCCTCCGTGCTCCTGAGGAACCTCGGGGAAGCTTTTCCAGGCTCATGGCTTGGGAAGCTTTCCCCTCTCCCTGCAAAGACTGGGGATAACAGTCAAAAGGCAGCTTTCTCCCATGGCCACACACATTCCCACCTCTCCTGCAGAGCTCAAAGAGCTGGAAGGACCCGTTTCTTGAGGGAGGGGGCAGCTGCTCTGCAGAGGTTTGTTGATACAACCATGGAATCATGGAATATCCTCAGCTGGAAGGGACCCACAAGGATCATCAGGTCCAGCTCCTGGCCCTGCACAGACACCCCAACAATCCCACCCTGTCCCTCAGGGTGTTGTCCAAACCCTCCCTGAGCTCTGGCAGCCTTGGGGCCACGGCCATTCCCTGAGGAGCCTGTTCAGTGCCCAACCACCCTCTGGGGAGGAACCTTTTCCTGAGATCCCACCTGACCCTGCCCTGGCACAGCTCCAGCTGTTCCCTGGGTCCTGTCCCTGGTCACAGGGAGCAGGGATTCGTGCTGCCCCTCAGGTGGAGCTGCAGACCCCAATGGGTCTCCCCTCAGTCTCCTCCTCTCCAGCTGAACAAACCCTCCTCGTGGTTTCCCCTCCAGACCCTTCCCCACCATTTTTTTTTGGCCCCTGGATGCTCTCCCACGGCTTTGGATCCTTCCTAACCCCCCCAGCTCCAGGCAGTCTCCTGGCAGGACACGTCTCTGGCAGTGCTGTGCCAGCTCAGGGGACACCCCCGGGGCACAGGGGGCTGGCTCTGGTGCCAGGCTGGCTGCCACCCTTTGGGACACCCAGCACACGGCTGCCTGCCCAGGACAGACGCTCCCAGAATTCCAATGAGCTGCAGTGAGGGACAGAACCCTGCCCAGCCTCCCCCAGCTGCTTTCCCTCGCCGGGTTTCCTCCCCATGGACATTCCCAAATTTGCCCCTTCCACCTCTTGGCCTGCGAGGCCACAAACCCGGCGGTGCCTGAGCTCTGTCATCCCCTCACCTCTGTCCTCACTGCAGTGAGTGTCACCTTCTGCATTCTGGGTCTCCACACACTGCTGTGGTCACCCACATCCTTCCAGGGGTGGCTTTTCTATCACGACCAACCATTCCCACCAGCCTGGACTCGGATTTCTGCCTCGTTTTCAGGGAGGGAGGGTCAGAGGGAAAAGGAGAAGTGCCCAGGAGGAGTTTCATCCCTCCCAGAGCAGCCAGGCATCTGTGCCAGGCCCTGCTCGAGTCCCATCCCAGCACAGAATCCGAGACTGCTCTGGGTGGGGAGGGAGCTGAAATCTCACCCAGTGCAGACACCAGCACCGTGTCTGCGGCCACGGCCGCAGGAAGGAGCTGACCCAGCCCTGACAGTTCCCTCGGGATTCGGGATGAAACTCCTTCAGAGAAGAGCAAAGGCAGCAGCAACAATCCTGTCACTGGCACCTGGATGGGGCCTCCAGTGCCCCAGGGAGCCACGGGGCACCCCAAGAACCAGGGCCAGGCCCGGCGGCCGCGGTGCCGTCGCAGACGAGCTGGCTGGAGTCGTGATGGGATTTACGGACACAAATGGCTTGTGGGGTTTGAAAACAACATTAATCTTGCAACCAGGAGGCTGCTGGAAGATTCATTTATGCGTCCAAAGAGGAAAAAAATACAGATTTATAGCCTGGAGTCTACTAACAGCCTTCCTGTCCCGGAAAAACAATTCCACGCTGAAGTGATCTGGCTCCCCGGAGCCGGCGGCAGAGCAAGAGCTGCCACAGACCCACGGAGCAGCCTGAGGGGGAAGGGACCCCCAGGGCCCATCGAGTCCAGCCCCTGGCCCTGCACAGGACAGCCCCAGCCTCCCACCCTGTGCCTGGTGGGATTCACACCATCCCCCCCTGTCACACCGGAGTCAGGGTGGGCTGGGGGAGGACAGCAGGCAAAGAGGGGTTTGCACATCCCATCCTGCTCACAGGCTCCCCAGGAGGACACATCCCATCCTGCTCACAGGCTCCCCAGGAGGACCCATGGCAGCTGTAGGCCACGGGCCCACGTTTCCACACCATGGGTGCGAGCAGCAGAGCAGCTCCAGCCAGTCCACAGGGCCGCTCCCTGTAAATCTCCTTAGGCACAAAGAGGGCACAAGGCAAAGAACCTTCTCCCATCAGGCTGAGGATGAGCCAGGAGGCAGAAAACTCACCAACCCCAGCCCACGGGAGTGAGCAGGGCCGTGCCAGGAAAAACAAGGCCCGTTTGCCCTCTGCCCACACTCGGCTGAGGGGTGAGGAGTCACCTCACCCCCGATGGTACTGATTAACCTGAGCCCTGTTTGTCGTTTCTAAGGTCACTTCTTGGCTGGCAGCAGCAGGGATCATCAGCTTTGCCACGCTGGCAGTGCTAGAGCTGCACCCACCACAGGAGCTGATGGGTTTGGCTGCCACCAGGAGCAGCAGCAGGCAGGGAACAGCAGGAGGGACGTGGATGTCCCCCTGTCTGCCCCAGCGGCAGCTCCAACACCAGCCCCTGGCCTCGCCCTGCCCGGGCTCCACTGGGCAGGTTTTAGACATCCAGCAAAAAAAAGACCTTCAAAACACAGCAGAGAATCATGGAATGAGGTTGGCATGAGGTTGGAAAAGTCCTCTGAGACCACCAAGTCCAACCATTCCACAGCACTGTCAAGGCCACACTGAGCCATGTCCCCAAGTGCCACATCCACAGGGGTTTTAAATCCCTCCATGGATGGGGACTCCACCACCTCCCTGGGCAGCTGTGCCAGGGCTGGACAGCCCTTTCCATGCAGGAATTGTTCCCAGTATCCCACCTGAGCCTCCCCTGGCACAGCTGGAGGCCATTCCCTCTCCTCCTGTCCCTTGTTCCCTGGGAGCAGAGCCCGTTCCCCCCCCGTTCCCCCCCCCTGTCAGGGGGTTGTGGGGCGGGAAGAGGGCCCCCCGGAGCCTCCTTTTGTCCAGGCTGAGCTCCCCCAGCTCCCTCAGCCCCTCCTGCTGCTCCAGCCCCTTCCCAGCTCCCTTCCCTTCCCTGCCCATGCTCCAGCTCCTCCCTGTGTCTCCTGTGTGAGGGGCCCAGAGCTGAACACAAG